TCTGTTTATATTAATTCTCTAATTAGCATAATAATTAATAATTTTTTGGTTCTAATCACGTTTCAATGAAACTTGGTACATTGTGCAGACCTTATTAGTTTTACATTTAAATCTGTTCATATTAGTTACCTTATTTGCATAATTTGTTTCCATCAATATATCAAGTTCAAGTAATTTTGAATTAATTTTTAATGTGTCTCCAATACTCTCAGCACACGGGAGTTCTTTCTAAGCTTTCTTTGATTGTAGCTTTGGTTCAGTTTAAATAAAATTTGATTGCTGAATGAATGTCGACAATGATAATTCAAATATGACAAGTTGAGTATGCGTAGTGTGGAGTTCAGGATCACAAACATGAAGGAGTGTGCATGTATTGTTATCTAGCAGTTGAAATAAATTTGTTACATATTCATATTTTGTTCTTCATCAGGTTGTATGAAGAAAAAAATTATATATTTTCATAAACTTTCAAAGGCAAACCTATATGCCACAAAACTTAAGCTTGAACAAAATACAGATTTATTCTAGTGCCAACAAAGTGCCATCACAATCATAAACAAATGTACTGACAATAATAAGATTATGAAATAGCATGATGTCAATGTCCTTGATGGTGAACAAGAACATCACACTGCTGAATTAAGTTTTATCATGAAGTGACCAATTCCCAACTATTTATGCCGAAGGACTGCTTTTGCATTGATGGAACGTAAATCATGTGTATATTAACATTGTTAGGGTCCGAAACCGTGTCTTAGTTCGCATTGGCTACTGTGATGAGTTAATCTATGGTTGTTTGGTATGTCTCTTCTCAACCTCTAAATATTGCTGACACATACTTGAGACTGTTTACATTTCGTGTGTTGGACACGACAGGCTTTCACTGCAGGATTTACAATTCCTTCAGCTAATAATTTGTCATTTTTCTGGTATTTATAAATAACTGTCAGTGTTCATGAAAATTAGTTCCAATAGCTTTTTGACTTGAGAAAATCAACATACATGTATTTGTAG